ATACTTTCATACCAAAAATCATCAAAATTGCTTCACTGATCTCGAAAATATCGCAATTTTTCCATTTTACCCTCACACTTTGGGGGGTTGTTTCATACCCTAAATGTTTTACCGCAGCTAAAAAAAAATACGTGTCCCCTAATTTTCCATGTACTATAACATATCCAAATTTCATGAAAATAGGAGAGTGACACTTGGGTAGGTTTACTTGTAAGAGAAAGAAAATAAACGAGCTGTGAAGGAAGTGCAAACAACATGCCCTGGTGAAGGAACATATGTAACTCTTATTGCATTATGATTTATGTTTCCATCGGCCTTTGTTGGTATTTGTGTAATCTTATATTTTCATGCACGCAGGAATTTAACCCGAATTTATTAGGCTATTCACGTGGAGATTCCTTAATTTATCATTCGAATTCGCACTTCAACGTCGCTGAAACTGGTGCAATGGCTAGAGACATGCCTTTCATGGCCAGATATCTGATTGACAGAATGAAACAGGATTCAAGAGTAAATATTAAAGAACATTGGAAGGTTCGTATTACTAAGCAATCAGTAAAATTATCCATAGTCACTAAATAGCTAAAATAAATTACTTCATAATACACATATCGATAAAACTGAAGATAGCCAATTATGTTTAAGGTCAATATGTATAATAGTTTGGATTGATTTCAAACTGCTTTTATACTAACATCATTTTGTATTCAAGTGTAACGTAGCTTCAAGTGTTCTACTTCAAATATTTTCTCTCTATAATAGTGTCATTTGTATCAAGGTTCTAAGTTGATTTAATATGTTTGGCGGTTTTCTTTCGATGAATATGCGTTGCGCATGCATGTAGTTGGCTTGCTTAAGAAATGTAATTGATTTTCGTAAGAAAATGACAAAGTCATATTAAATTTATACTGCATTATATTTTTTAGAAACACTAGGGGACATCAGTAACGGTTCTTATTACTTAATTTACAATTTTCTGTTACGCTTCTTCGTCACTATTTGTACATCAATTATATTAATTCTGTTTTCTTACAGCTGATCTCGATACTTATTGGACACAACGATTTCTGTATTGACGTATGTGTTGCGCCATCACCATCGTCCATTTTGAAAACTTATAGAAGAGATCTAATCAATACCTTGAGAATATTACGGGATAACTTACCAAGAACTTTCGTCGTAGTTACTATGATGTTTTCTTTCAGTAGATACGTTGATGCTATGAAAACTCAACGAATATTGAGGTGTTATATTATGGTACGACTTTCTTGTCCCTGTATGTTTGGTTTACAATACCAAGACCGGATTTCAGAATATCACGACATGATAAAAAGGTGGGTGTGATTGGACGGATTCGAAATGTACAGAAATTTTCATAATGGAACTGTATACAATTTATGTGTCGCAAGTCTATATAATTTCAAAGGAATAGAAAATTTGCTCTTATGTATATTTTATTTTCTTTCTCGTTAGATGGGCGGAAATGGAGGAAGATATCGTTAACTACCAAGAATTTAATACGAAAGATTTCACTGTTATATCTTCACCTGTACTTCAAAACTATGCACCGCCACTTACAGAAGATGGACAGCTAGACATGACAAATTTCTCCTACGACTGCTTCCACCCTGTTCAGAAAACTAATGCACGATGTGGGTAATCATCCAGTTCAAAATGTTATATTCGTGAGACTGACGACGCTCATATTTTACTGTTAAGCGACCTTCGCACTCTCGCACATCATTCCAAAGTTTTCTGTGACTTCTATGTACACATCTATAAACTCATCCTACCGATTTCCATGGAATATTCCAAGTTTTGACGAACGATTTCTTATATTCTTGCTAGACTCGCGTCTCTTCTTCTGAACTCCGATAAATTCACATTACACACAAAGGGATAAATCACCTTCAACGTATTTAATATTGTACTTTTCTAATTATAGTATTGTGCTCGAATATTTACCTGTCGCTTGTAATAATTAAAACACCCGTGATCTTTGTTACAGTAAACGCTCGCTAAATTTGTGTATCATACGCAAGGTACTAATTTCTCAATCGATTTATTATTCTCCAGATGCTAATGCTCTATGGAACAGTTTGTTGGAGCCAGTTGGGAACAAATCAAGAGGCCTTCGTCAAGAGTACGAAAAATTTTTGTGTCCTACTCCAGAAAAGCTATTTCTAATGACGCGAGAAAATTCACAAGAGGGATAGAATCAATGATACATGTACTTCTCTGTCTGACAATGAGAGCAACATATGAAACGGAACCAAAAATGCGATTTCGAAACGTGAAGTAGATGTTTGCTAACACGTTTATTTCCCAAAACACTGTAGTAATAAAGCCGTATAATATTTATTTCCATAATTTAATAGAAATTATGTCGATAAAAAATTTAAGGAGTGTTTAAGAAATAGTTTCTCTATGCTTTTAAGGCATAGAATGTTTCAAAACGAAATCAAATGAGACACGACTAATTCTGCATTGTAAATATATCAAAATAAAATATAATTTTCTACGGTTTCTGATTTCATTGTCGAACAATCAATTGTCGTTTCGATTTCCGTTCAGTAAGTATTATAGCTTTTCTTATGCTGAATCTGCAACTCATTTGTTTTCAGCATGTACAATTTCTAAGAAATGCGCCATACATGGATATCTATTACAATAGCGTAAAGGTTGCAGAAGAGTTATGAAATTAAAGAACAAACATCTATGGCACAATAAGAAAAAACAGGAAAGTGCTGCACTACTTAAAAAATAATACTTTGAATGATAAGATTATAGAATTTCATAGAAAACGAGAAATTATAGTACAAAAATGGAAATCGATCGAAGAATTGGTAACTACAATTTCCATGAAAATATTCAACAAACATGGTCAAATGTGTGGATAACAGAACAAAAAGAGATATTATAAAATCAATTTGTATATAGAAGTACTATCAATTTATGAAAAGTGTTAATCGTCCTAAATCAATACTTACTGTATTATTCCATACAATGCATATTAGGTTTATATAAAAAATTCCGAAAATCCTACCAGATCCACAAAATATTTACGGAATCTTGCAGGTTTGTGGTTTGGTGCAAATGAAATGAAGTCAGAGTCACGATTAGCTGCTAAATAGAATAAATTATCGGTGGAGTATGATACATCGAATGGCTCTCTAGGAAATAAAGAATGAAAAGCAGGTATTAATGACAACGAAAGAATTTAAAACCCGCAAGGGCGTGCAAAGTTTGTAATGTCGCAAAAAAAAAGAAGTTCCGCTTTATACATTTGTCCCTCCCATAACGTATCTCTTCATGCATGAAAAAGATTTGAAATTTACTACAGAAAAATGAAATATTAATCCCATTAGTTACAAATTTGTTTAATGAAATGTTATGAGTAATAATTTAGAATTATATGACTCTTTAATACAGTGGTGCAATGATTATTTTAATGCCTTTACGAATAATGGTTATATTGCAACTATTGTAGGAATTGGACGAAAACCGCAGCGTTGAGAACGTGCTCGAAAAAATGCAACAGAAACGAGCAAAATAAATACGGCAAAAATAGCGCAGCAAACAGATTACTCGTATTAGTTCGTTACCCGCCACTGCCTTCGAAGCACATCAACCCCCTGCGAGTGTCTACTGTTCCGAGTTGCACCATTTTGGTAACTCAGTATAACATTGGCTGAATATATATGGGTAAGCTGTCAAACATAAGACGTTTCATTCTTACAATTTTAAATGGATACTTAAGACCACATGAACGTCTCCACAATTTGACGTTCTTAACAATTGTCAACAGCCTTCTAGCAGGCTAAAAAGCACATCATTCTAGTGCCAATATATCTTTCCTTAAAGAAGTTTATTTCCTTGATCCTAAACAATACACCTCTACGGTGCACGATATTTACGCAGTCCTTGCCTACCCGGCGCGGCGGGCCAATCCACTCTGGCTCGATCATTCAGCAGTTTCGCAGTGTGGCCCATGACTGAGTTCCTTTGAAGGACCAAAATTACTTAAGTGTTTAGGTCACCTTATTAATGAACAATTTTTACAACCTTGGAGTGAGGGCCAAAGGTCTCGCGATCTCATTCGTTGAATCGTCTCATCAATCACTATTTTTAAAATTACAAAGTGTCCTGACTGGTCCTTTATGGCAACGCCTTCATGACCTGAGCTTCCATATTTCGAACTGCCTTCCATACAGACTCACAACTAAACTGACTAACATAGCCTTTTTTCTTTTAGAGCCTAAAATATCACTGAATTGCGGTTTCTCAGCCAAGAAGCACGGTATTTGCCTTTCGACATCGCCTTCTATTGCCGGTATAGCTAGCCGGTGGGGTTTGTTTGTTAGTTTCGCTTAGGCTCCTACTTTTCTCAACCCGGCTGGGGTTGGGCTACGGCAGTGACCACTTGGTTGATGCGCCCCTTCCTGTGAAAACGCAGGCTAGCCGCCTTCAAAGAGGTTTTATTTTACCTTATATGTATAATCCCAAACAGGCACTGTCTAAACGCATACGTACCGTTCCATTTCAATTACACCATAAACAAAAGACAACATGCACCCTAATATATACCTAGGGCAATCACACTTATCTTTACATGCAATTTGCATAACAATATAACATTCAATGTAAATAATAACTAGTAGAAAATAATAAATAATGTGTCATAAATAAAGAAAATACACGATAATCCAAAATATATGTGTACACAAGAAAAGGGTGCTATTAAACACAACGCAATCAGAAGCGCGTAATTATAATATATACACAACACGTCACCACGTTAATAAACACCGTAATCAAAAGCCAGCATTTTTATCATTTAATTCCTTTTTTTTTAGAATATTGGTGATAATCTGGGTATATTTATCCCCGTTAGATGTCTCTGCTAATATAAAATCTACATTATTATCAGGTGTAATCGCGTACCCGATATCAGCAGCTAATTCATTAATGGTGAATTCCTTCCAAAAAACACACTCAAAGGACGTGTGTTTCACATCATCGTCAGGTGCGCCACAATAGTTGCACCTCGAGGTGTTTTTTTTTCGAAATCTTTATAGACATGCATTAAAATTACCCTGCCCGGACAGAAACTGCGTGATATAATAATTTGTTGTTCTCTGTTTCCTATTAGACCACTTTTTAACCACAGGTATTAACCTTCTTGTCCAACTAACAGTCCTGGTATGCATAGTCCAGTGTTGTTGCCATATATTGACACCCTCTTCCTATGCGGCCCTTTTAATTTCGTTCTTCTCTTTTTGTGTTAAGCATCGTTCACTTTCTAATTTTCCTTTTTGTTTTAGGTATATTTTTTTGTATATCCCGGCGCACGTATCGAAGTGTACAAGATCCACGATTACCCCAGCCGCTGTTGCAAAAAAAATATTTAATATACATTTCTTTTACGGGCGAATGCCCACTTTTAAATGGTAAAAATAACCCTTAATGTTGGGGTTGAAATAGTTATTTTCACAAATATCTCAGGAACAATTAACCCTATTAAAAAAATGCAAATTTTTTTCGCTTTGGTAGGCCAATAATATGGCGTACGAGGATTTTTCAAAAATTTGTTGGTTTAAAAAATATGTTAAAAATGAACATTATTTTGCAAATATTTTTAATAAAAGGATGAACTATTTTTAACAAATTTCACATACATAAACTATAGGTATAATATGCAACAGTTGGAGCTATACACAAATTTTATACCATCTCTCCGGTGCACCGCTAATTTCAATACACAATGTTCTAGCAATTGTATTATATTACTTTTTTTATACTAATTCATTTAAAAAGAAGTAAAAAGAAGTTTAGTGTCTATAGGTACCCCCATATAACATGGGGCCTCAGATAGATATACCGCTTGCCTCGCGTTATAAGCGTGTACTGATGGTTGTATTCGATGTACGGATAACATAAAAGCATGTATTGTACTTGTATGAAGTGTGATGACATCATTATAAATTTAGACCATGTGTAATTAATGGAGTTGTATCTCTACATTTGAAACTGTTCCACGTTTGTGTAAAATAGTAGCTCTGAAGAGTGCTAGTCTTGTTAAAGTTCTAAAAAGAACTGTTTTTGCTATAACTCTGAAAATATCTAATCTTTAACATTCGTTAATCTTTTTACTCAAGAAACGAGAAAACGAAAAAAAAGCCAACAACACGCGGCGTTCCCAAGCGGTCACTCATGCAAGTACTATCCGCGCCCACCTCAGCTTGACTTCGGTGATCGCACGAGAACCGATTCTTTTTTTTGTAACAGAACATTTATTGTGCCAATAAATAATAATATATACATATGGTACAACAAACCAAAACCAACAAACGGTATATGCATTGGGTTGGATATATACAATGAGATTATAGGCTTCGACATGGAGCACGCGCAATCTATGTAATGATTTCTAATACAGAATGTCTTTTTTCAACATGAGTGATGATAAACTTACGATTAAGGAATATACTTGTACAATGAAATTTATAATATAATATATTCAGAAACAGCACAGAGAACTGTATAAACGATATATAGATTTGACGTTGGGGTGTGAGGAAAAGAAAGAAAAAGAAAAGGAAGAAAAAAGAAAATGAAAATGAAGTTGGAGAAGGAAGAAAGGAAAAAATATCAAAAGATGTTTCTACTCGGTGGGGAATAATACCCCATTCTTGTTAATATTAATTTATAATATTTGTTATTTTAGCCACCAGTATTTCTCTGTGTCTAGTCTGTGTTTGTCTTTCCTATTTATGCTGGACAGTCTGTACTTAAAGCATATGTTGGGATCATTAAATTGGATGTTTTTATTGTATGTGATTATCTTGTCGACAGTTTTCCTAAATACGTGGTACAAAATTGGAACATTTCAGGGTTTTGTATGTATTCCTTTGCTGTCAAGGAAGATGAAGGATTCCGGTGGAGTATATCCGATTTTTACGGTTTTTGTGAAATATAATGAATTTGGGTATGGTGAATGACATATAAGGCTATTAGATGTTATTTTGATACTGTTGGCTCAGTGATTGCGTATAAGTTTAAGTAAAAATAGGTCTATGCGGATGATCTTGGCTCCTTTGTATAGCTTATGGTTGCTGATGAGTTTGGTGTAATTAGATTCTGGTGTTCTGTATTTGCTGGGGCAGGCTCATAAACATTTCCTTTCAAAGGTTCGCGGCTTCTTCATGGTTCCAACGTTGATGTTGAACCATATTGGGCATTCGTAGCTCAAGATGGGTCGAACAAGAAGCTGGTAACATAGAATTTTCACGCGTTTATCTAGGTCTTTGAAGTAAAAGAGTCTTTTATGGATTAGAAAGGCTTTCTGAGCTTTTTCCATTTGTAGTCTGATGTGTTCGTTGTAAATTAGTTTGAAGTCCAAATGTGTGCTTAAATATAAGAACAGTTTTTTTATGGGGAATTTTCGTATTTGAACCTTTCGCATCGCGTATATGGAATGTAGTTTTGTGCAGTCTCCGGTGTTTCGAGCCCAACAAATATCCCATGTGAATTTGGTTATCGCGTGTACTGTGGAGTGTCTATGGCGGAAACCGAACTGATACTCTGGAATTACATTTTTAGATTTGCAAAAACTAACTATCGAGTTGTTTATGGCTGTTGTTCGCGC